AGGTAAGTAATTTTCACTGTATGAAATGTACAGTATATGCAGACCAATGTCTTTAACAAGAATTGTTGATATACCTGGTATTTTAAAGGGCCACAGGTGGTCAGAGGGGGATCCAAGAGCAGCAGTTCGAAATTAAGAGATTAAAAAAAGCAACAATCAGGGGCCAGCCTGGTGGCTTAGTGGTTAAGTTTGCACGCTCCAATTCTGCAGCCTGGGGTTCACAGGTTCGAATCCCAGGCGCAGTCTGACACACCACTCACCAAGCCATGCTGCAGCAGCGTGTCACATACAAAATAGAGGAAGATGAGCACAGATGTTTGCTCAAAGCCAATCTTCCTCACCAAAAAAAAAAAAAAAAAGCAACAATCAAGATATGCATCTTCCTGGGCCGGCCCCGTGGCCTAGCGGTTAAGTGCGTGTGCTCTGATGCTGGCGGCCCGGGTTCGGATCCCGGGCACGCACAGACGCACTGCTTCTCTGGCCATGCTGAGGCCGAGTCCCACATACAGCAACTAGAAGGATGTGCAACTATGACATGCAACTATCTGCTGGGGCTTTGGGGGAAAAATAAATAAATAAATTAAAAAAAAAAAAAAAGATATGCATCTTCCCAAATGAATTTGAATTGACGGACAATGGCAAATAACCATGAAGAAGTCTGTGCTTTAAAAATATTTATATTAATCATATAGCAAAGAACCGAGCTGACTTAGAGGAAGGAAAAAATTAAATACAAAAGACTAGTTAGGAGATCATTATGATAAACCCAGTGTGCTAAAACAGTGGATGCTGAGAAGAAAAAAATGGACAAAACTTGGCAACAGATACTGTTATGAGAAAAATAACCCATGAGTAGAGAGAAAAAGCATGGAGACAGAAGGGTGGGGCTGTAGGCGCTTTCCTTCTAACAGCTGCTATTTCACGCTATGTCTTTAAAGTGAAGGGGGCCAAAGAGATGGGGGATGTACCCAGAGCACAGCTTCAAAGCTTAGTGTTCCCTCCTCTTTTCCCTTTTTTAATGTGTTACTAACACACACGTCTATTTCTGGTTGCTGATGACAGAAAATTCACCTCTGTTTTCCTTGGAAGCACTATTCCCTGTTGTGAGCTAAAAGAAGATTCTAGAAGATGATAAACCTATACACCTGAAAGTTTTCATCAATTTTATTGATTTGCTTCCAACACATTTCCATATACGTTATGCCACTTACTTTGCAAAATAAATCCATAAGGCAGGAATTATTAACCTAATTTTGCAGATGAGAAGACTAAGGCTCAGTCTTGTTCAAGGTCAAAGCCACAATGTCCATCATGCTGTAGCTGAATCGATTAGGCTTTCGTAGTTGGTTCCATGTTGTTTTACGTTATTTTTAAGTTTTCAATTCACACACAAGATAAATCATTTTATAAACTGTTATTTTACATTGGTTGTATGAATCTCGACACATTTACCCTTAGAAATAATAAATGGCTTTAGACTGCCAGAGCAGCTCAGATCAAATCTGTAAGTGAACATAAGTGAGGCCATCTTGTTACGTTAAATGGCCCCAGCCCCTCCTCTGCGTGACTACTCACTGCTCTACACGTACTCTAAAAAACTCACATGCTCTCCTTATTTATACGTATGTACTCCCCAATAGCTTGACAAATCAAAAACTTTGTTCTATGAGTTTCTCTCCAGGAAACACACCTACAAGGTATCCATCACAGCTGACAGAATGGAACAATGTGATGCCTGGAGCCCATCATGCCTGGAGACCAACATCCCTGGACCCCCTCCTTACTGCCCATTTTCCCTGTATAACTGCCTCAAGATTCTGTAATCTTTGAAGACGGTTTTTTGATCTTCCCTGCCATCTTAGTCTGCCATCGTCCCAGTTATGCTGGCTAATCGAATTAAAACTTCATTTCTTGATCCCTAACAATCGTGATTAATTGGCTCAGATCGTGGCGAACAGAGCGAGCCCATTGCTCGGTAACAAGTCTACTTAACTTGTAATACAGCTGAACTATATTATAGCTTTAATAACAATGTGGACATTAGCCAAGAGGTATTACATGGCTGAACCTCACTACTGGAACACAGAACGCCTTTTCATTTGAATCCATTTCTAGTAAAAGACATGGATTATTTTTCTCCATTCCTATCCAGGACTCTTCTAAAGAGACTTGGTCAACTCTAATTGTTCTTAAACCCTGGGTATTCCTGTATTTAGCAATAAAAATTACTACTAATTGAAGATATGCTATAGTAATAATTACGATGGAAAATATTTATTTAAATGTTTCAAGGAAAGTTAATTTTGTTTTAATAGACAAGAAATCAAAAAGCTGCTTCAGACTTTTTGGCTTCTCTATTAAGCAACTGATCCTAATTATTAAATGGTGATTATGGATATTAAAAAATGTTATAATTTTCCAGAATATTAAAATGTATTATTTTGAAAGCAAGCAAAATTATCTACAATAGAAAGATCAATAAAACAATCCATTAAAATTATCATCAGATAATCCTTAGTTTTCAAATGTATCTGTTCAAAACTGTCACTCTATGAGCTGCCAGGCTTTGTTTTGCTTGATCAAGAAATGAATGTGACTTTATAATCTGTATTCAACCGTGAACAGCTGCTCATTAATAAAAAGCCATTAAAGTCCAAGTCAGAACAGCAGGTCTAAAACCGTGCTTGAGGGAAAAGCCGTCCCTTTAGTGAAAAGCCAGGGAATTGGGTTGGGGGAGATATGGAAGCACTGGGCTGTGTTGCCAGAACTGGGAGAGTAAGGGGTGGGTTGGAAGCTGATAAAAGTGAATAAATCAAGCTGGTGTCTAGGGTTGGTCAGAGGCAAATCAGGAGCCTTAAAGTGGGGAGGATGGTCTGGACACAGAGCAGGTAAAATTAATTGGACACCATGGAGCAGAAGCATCCAGAAAGCAATCTTGCACATATTGAGTGCTATCCCTTATGCTTCTCCCACTTGACATTTGGTGGTCCCCATTCCCACCCCACTCAAGCCTTGGGCAGAGGACAGGACTTCAAATTGCACACTCCTAAGAGGTGGCCCCAAGCAAGATTCCAAATTATTGGCACCTACGATCCCCAATTATAGGCTCACTACTCAACTAAAGATGATTTAAAATATTCGTTTAGGGCCGGCCCTGTGGCTTGGTGGTTAAGTGCACGCGCTGCGATGCTGGTGGCCCGGGTTCGGATCCCGGATGTGCATCGAGGCACCACTTCTCTGTCCAGCCTGAGGCCAAGTCCCACATACAGCAACTAGAAGGATGTGCAGCTGTGACATACAACTATCTACTGGGGCTTTGGGGGCAAAAAAATAAAAATAAAATCTTTAAAAAATAAATAAATAAATAAATAAAATATTCGTTTATAGATATTTTTTAAGTACACTTTGCAATCTTTAGCAAGTTTCCTGTTTGTTCTGTCACTGTTGGAAAACGAGTATTTACTAACTAGTTTCTAGAAAAATATACACTTTTTGTTTTGTTTCATTTGGAAACGGCAAATTTAATAAAGAAAACAGAATAGTAAAAAAAAAAACCATAGGCATATAATAAATAATTTGAAATAAAGATATGGCTCTAAGGAAAAACGTTTTGAAAACATGTTTATGTCAACACGGAGGCTATCTGGATTACTGGATTTTGGAATTCCAAAAAAATTTGGAAATGATGAAGTATTGGAATTTAGGCAGTTGAAGAGATTAAGGTTAGAGCAGGTGTTCAAGGGACTTAAGACGGTTTAGCGGCTATAGGGAGGTGTGGTAACTGGGAATGATGACGAAATTGTGTAGCAGGGGTAGCTGCAGAAACAGCTACTAGCTATGAATATTTGCTATGTGCCAGGCTCTGCCCTAAGAGCTTTGCAACCATTAGTCATTCTATGAAGTAAGCACTTTATGGTCATTTTACTGATGAGGAACCTGAAGTTTAGAGATGAAAGAACTTATCCAAAGTTACACAGAATCATTTCAGAGCAAGAGTCATAGACATTCTCTTTCTTCCCCTCTTGGGGATACACAAGTTAAATTATTAATAGAAATGTGGTACAGATTGGTGGGTGGGTACTAGAAAGTTAAGTGGGTAGGTGGGTACTGGTCAGGGTGACAGAACAAAGGTAGTTGTAGTCAAAAAAGAGGTAGAAAAAGAACAAGGCTGGTTGGGGAACAACTTGCATGAAGTGGTTTCAGCCTTTGACCATATAAATTTCTATCTTCCCTCACCAGTCCTTTGCAACAGTGGAGGAGATAGTTTTCTGAGGGCCTCTCGCCCACAACAGCAAAGGATCCCAGCCATTTAATAGCATACTGGACAAAAAGAAGGAAAAAAGGGTCAGGCTTCAAACAGAGAACCACAGAAAGAAAGAACACCCTCGTTTGGGAGAATGCCTAGCCCGCGCTGCAAGCGCGGAAAGAGACAGGTGAAATGCCACTTTTTAATATCTGGTTAAAGGAAATTCGGTAAAAAAAATTACTTGGAGGAGGCTAAGTCCTGAATTAAACTCAATGTGTCGCACCCCTAAGGTGGCAGAATGATTTGAAATCTGGCCTACCCACATCCAAATCACCCTCAGACGGGGGGGCTCCCTCATTTTTTGCAATCTAAACACTGCTCTCCCTTGGTCCCACATGGTAGGGGGATTCTGTGGGTAGAACGAGAAGGGGCATGATCGGACCAGAGGTACTCTGTACAGAAAGTAGGGCAACAAGGAACGAGCCCAGGCGCTCTGCGATGGAAGAGCTAGAAACGGTACAGCCAGAAACGGTACAGCCAGAAACGATCACAAAAAACCACCCGTTTCCAGCCTCGGCCACAGCCGCGCCTGTCGTCGCTCGCCCCGCCTCCCCCGGCGCTCATTGGTTCATAGCCCCGACGTCAGACCCGCAGCCTCTCTCCTATTGGGCCAGACAGGACCTGGGGCGGGTGAGGAAGTGAGGGCCTGGAGCAACGGAGTACCTCCCTCCAGGAGCGCGAAGAGGGAGGGGTTAGGGGAGGGTTTCCCAAGGAGGGCGAGGCCATGGCAGCTGCGCGACGGCAACGGCGGCTGCGACGGAGCGCGCGCCCGGCTTTGAATGAGCGGTGCTGGGACTGAACGGGAGGAGCGCGAGCTCGAGGAAGCGATCGGCAGCGCGCGTGCGCGCGCCTTGTGTGCGCGCGCGGCCCGCGGCAGCTCGGAGCCTCCGCCGGGCGGGCGGGGAGGGGGAGGGGCAGGTGAGTGTGTGCGGCTCGCGCGCGCCCGCGAGGGGCTTTTCTCCCCCACCCCCACCCCGATCCCAGCCCAGGCCTGGGGGCTGTCCTCTACCCTTCCCTCGTCAGCCTTCCTCTTCGCCTCGCACTTCCCGCCCTCCCACCTTCCTTTTCGTGCCTCCGCCGGCTTTCCCCTCCACGGCCGACTGCCCCTCGGGCGTACTGTTTCCGGGTCAGGGTGACCCCTGGGGTGAAGGAACTACGACAGGAGCAGCCTCGGGCGGGCAGCGCTCACCATGCTGGGCTCACGCGTGGGACACCGGCCTGTGGGGCGCCGGCCCCTAAACCTCCGAGTCCCCCCATCCGTCCCCCGCAGGGACATTTGCCCGACCTTCCTGCTCTTCCTCTACAGGCCTTGCTCCTTCCCAGGCAGATTGTTCCAAAATCCAATTCCCAGCCCACCCGGCACCCGCTTCCAGCCAGTTAGAGCGTTTCACGAAACGCCGTGCGCATGGCGTTGGGTTGTGTAACCCGAAAACGCTCTTGCCGTTTTTCTCGTCTGTACAGTGGGTATGATTTTTTTTTTTCCCATCAGCTAATTTCAGGTGGGTAATCTGAAGTGAAAGCATTTTAGTTATGAAACTCTTTCCTTTTGAGTCATTCGGGAGACCTTACTTTGCCTTTGTAGGAGTCAGTGGTGTCACATATTGGAGGGCCTGACTTGGAGTTGCCAGATTGTGCAGTGTTCGACTTGACCACCCGCTGTCACGGTCTGCTTCTAGTTCTGCTTCTAGTTCCCCTTCCGTTACCGCTGCCGAGCTTTGGTTTTGCAAATTTAAGTGAGTTCGGGTAGATTTTGTTTTTGGAGCCTTGTGATATTCCTTAACGTACTTCAGAGAGCTACAAACTTAATTGGAGGGTATTCTGTACTGTACTGGACCATATGGTTTCTCAAATTTTGGTATTAAAAAAATTCAAAAATACAGTTTTAGAAATACAGCAGTTGATGACTTGTTTACTCTGGTGTGTACCAACGTAGTTTTGGCTTGGCTTGTTTAACGAATCGGGATATAGTGACTCTACTGGAAGGATCTCGCCAGCAGTTTACATGGAATTACAAGGAAGAAAGATACATTTAATCTTTCAGTTTGTAATGCAGCATTCTTCTTTAACATTGTAGGTGCATCTTTTTCACTTGACATAGCCGAGCTATCATTCCTATTGATTTCCTAGAGATGTCATTTCTCCAGAAGCCCTGAGGATAGGTTGCTTCATGGTTCTGAATATTCTGCTATATCTCAAGTTTTTGTATTTTCCTAGTAATTTTAAAGGAAACTTTAATTTTAAAATTAGATTATATTAGCATTTCTCAGTTCTAGAAAGTATTTTGAAGCAACCAGAGTGCAAGGTGGCCTAAGATGCGTACTTATCAAATTGGTGATCTAGAGGGCATTTCAAAAACCAAACTGAGGCAATGAGTATAAAATTTAAGAAAAAGTTTCCCAAATGAAATATGGTGTGGGGAGATCCTGGTCTTTGGGGTCAGTGTGTTTAAATCCTAGGTGAGTGAATCTGAGCTTCCTTGTCAGCCTCATCTGTTAAATGGGAACAGTGAAACTTACCTCTTGTTTGTCCTTAGGATTCTAGTGAGATGATGGAACATACATTGTCTAGAATGGTGTCTTGAACATATTGACTGCTCAAGGAATGTTAATTTTTCTTTATTTGACAAGTATTTCAGTACCTGTTATGTACTTGGCATTGGCCCAGACCTGAAAATACCAAACTGAGCAAGACTGATAGGGGCCCTGCCTCCTTAGTCCCCTGCATTGTCACTAGCTCATGACAATTGGGCAGCCAACACAGGTTACTCTGTACTGGGTCAGTAGTGTTTCCCGTCACCCAGGGTAGTATCTGTTACATGATATGTGCTGAGTATATATATTCATTGAATTGGATTGGAACATTCATTAAATACAGGTTCTAAAGAATATTCCTGCCTGCAAATCGATGTAATTGATAAAATCAAAAGTGTTGCTTAATAGTTAACTTGATTGCATTTTCTGCATTTCAGTACAACTGGTTGGAAAACTTGTCTTGGAAATTATAATATCATCACTGAATTACTAAGAATGTTTATTGTTAGGTACTCTTGGATTTTAAATTAAATAGACCTAGGTTTGAGTCTGAGTCATTGGGTGTGGGAGCATGGAAACATGTGCTTACTCTCTGCTTCAATTCTGTGAAAAGAGAACAATAATATATTTATCTCATAAGATGGTTTTATGGATTAAGTGAGATAATATTTAGATAGTACTTAGCACATAGTAGCTGGTCAGTGAATATTAGTTCCTCTCTTTCATGAATCACAAAAGCAAATTTTCCACGGAATGAGGATATTCTTTTTTTTTTTTTTTTTTTTGGTGAGGAAGACTAGCCCTGAGCTAACATCTGTTGCCAGTCCTCCTCTTTTTGCTGAGGAAGAGTGGCCCTGGGCTAACATCTGTGCACATCTTCCTGTACTTTATATGTGGGAACCCTGCCACAGCATGGCTTGATGAGCATTGCATAGGTCCTTGTCTGGGATCCGAATCTGTGAACCCCAGGCCGCCAAAGTAGAGTGATCGAACTTAACCACTACGCCACCGTAGAATGAGAATATTGTTAATTGCCAGAGAGAGAATTCTATTCTGTTGTCAGTAATAGTCCCACTTCCTGTTTCTGTTGGTACAAAATTTTAAATTTTATTTCCAGTTACCACTGAAGTTGTTCAAGTTGACAGATGCTTATTGAACAGTGACACACAACAATATTTGTGGGAAGGTGATGATCATGGTCACCAAGCCTCTATGTGAAATTTATTATCAACTCTTCATTCCTGTATATCCTCAGACCCACTCCTCTCCCCACTCCTTAAATATTACATGTCATCTCCCTTCAGAACATCCTGATAGAGATCTCCTCAGTTCTGTCCCCTTTTCGCGCGTGTGCCGCATGCTCTACAGTCTCTTTTCTAGCTATCTTTTTTGGCTTATAATGTTTCTGAAAACTTAGGCTAAATTTTCATTTAGGGAAGCTTGCTTTTTTTTTTGGTTGAGAGTTTTATTTTTGACCAGTTAGCTTTAAATGAGGCATTTATTCATCATTTTAATTATTTGGATCATTCTCATAATGAAGCAATCAAACCTTTCTTTCAGGTCTTATTTTGCAAGTGGTAACAGGAGGTACCAGGTGAATAAGATCCTCTGCGGAAGGATTGTGCAGGGCAGATAAGGTATATAAAAATAACTGTAGTACAAAATAGGAGATATAAGTGCAGTAAGAGAAAAATACTGGAATTAAGAAGACTTTGCAATAGTCCAGCAAGACATAGTAAAGGCTTATGCTAGGGAGAATGCAGTGGAAATAGAGAAGAATATGGGGAGTGTTAGGAAATGGAATAAGGTCTTTTTGGCAGTTTGAATGTAGGGGGATAAGAGAAGGGAGGAGTCAAAATTGTTGCATTTTTTGAAGCCTAGTAAACCACTGATTGGGGATGTTTTTGACAGAAGTATTTAAGTTACTTGAACAGTGAAATTCTTAATATTTTCTTGGTTCTCTTTCTCTTAAAGTCACTTTTCTTTCCATCCTCTCAGTTAGTAGGCCGTCTCCAGGCACAGGCATTTGGTAAATCATTCAGCTGCTGTGGAGATACAACCTCCACTTGTGCGAAGATGCATGAGCATTGCTGAGGGAGGCTTTTGGAACTCTGTTACTGTAAAGGGTCTACTTGACCTTTACACCTTTCTAACCCTAGAAATCGAAGGGATTAGCTCTGTGTTTTGCCCTTCTTTAGAAGGGACTGGCAGTAGTGGCTCTACAGAGCAATTAGGATCAGGTAAAACAAGAGTTAAGTATTTTTTCCTTGCTTTCTGGTTTTGTTTTGTTTTTATTTTTATTTTATTTTTGTTTTGAACTTTTATATTAAGGTTAACATACAAACAGGATATACAGTAAAGTATACTGGTGTTGCTACCACTTAGGTTGGTATATAGATCTTAGTTCCCTCATGCTTCTGTACCATCCCCCATCAGAGGTGACCACTGTTTTTTACTATATAATTTTTAACCTACTCAATGTAATATTCTACTAGTTGAGAAAATTATTACATGCTATTTTCAAGACTTTAGGAGTAATAAAGTAATTTATTACATATCTAGTAATTAAAAACAAAACAGAGTGCTCTCTGGTTTAATCCACGTGAAATACATTTTAAAACAGCAGGTTGTTAGTACAGAGAGAGTGTATTTATCCAGGAAGATTTTTTTTTTTAATAATTTTATTTATTTATTTTTTTCCCCCAAAGCCCCAGTAGATAGTTGTATGTCATAGCTGCACATCCTTCTAGTTGCTGTACGTGGGACATGGCCTCAGCATGGCCGGAGAAGCCGTGCGTCAGTGCGCGCCCGGGATCCGAACCCGGGCCGCCAGCAGCGGAGCGCGTGCACTTAACCGCCAAGCCACGGGGTGGCCCCTGTCCAGGAAGATTTTAATCATTATGTTATATTTATAAATTCTATTGCTTATCTTTATACCCGTATAAGATAATTTTAAAAACAAGTCAGCATTTCGATTTTGAGTAGAAGGAACGTGCAGCTGTCACTTTAATTTGGTTTCATGATAATTATTACTTAAGTTAGGTTTCTCCACTCTTAAGTAAATATGTGTAGAACTGAAGTCCAAATACACTGTTTATGCTTTTTTATTTTGGAAAAAAATATGTATGAGGGGCCAGCCTGGTGGCGGAGTGGTTAAGTTCACATGTTCCACTTCAGTGGCCCAGGGTTCAAGGGTTCAGATCCTGGGCACGGACCTACTCATCGCTCATCAAGCCATGCTGAGGTGGTGTCCCACATAAAAGAGCTACAACTCTACGACTAAGATACACAACTATGCACTGGGGCTTTGGGGAGAAAAAAGAAAAAAAAAAAGGAAGGTTGGCAACAGATGTTAGCACAGGGCCGGTCTTCCTCAAAAAAAAAAAA